ACCAAATCCCAGCTTTGCCATTTCCCAGCTCACCGTGACAGGCTCCCCAGTCCCCCGAGCCCCAGCCTCCTCTGTACAGGAGGGGCGGTGATGCAGTGGCACCACCCTGCGGGTTTGCTGGGCTGCCCAAGGGGGTGCTGTCAGCAGCGTGGTTCATGGGGAGGCCTGACTCCTGGGCACCCGACTGGGTATACCCTTACCAGTCCCCCAACCCAGGAACTACAGCACAGAGATGCCGCCCACTGACCCCAGGAAGGGCATCCTCCAAGGCGGGAAGGCCTGGCTCACAGGCCTTTCCCGAGACCTCCTCCAGCTTCTATTCTAAAGCCCACATGTGACTCGAGAGCCTCATGCAGCGTCCATTTCTGATTCACGCTGGCCCAGGCTGCCCGGAGCCCTTCCTCATTCTTTCCAGTTGTTTGTTGGGTTACTCTCGATCAAACTCAGGAAACTACTTTAAAAAAAGAAAAAACAAGGCCAGTGAACCAGAAAACGTGAAGTTCAAGTTTGGGTCAAAATAACCAACTCTGAATTCAAGGTAAGCTTATGGCTCCAAGTGAGTGGTTCCAACCTGATCACAGCTGTGTGCGTTCACACACTGACACACAGAGACACACACACATCCATGCATCACATATGCACACACTAACATACACACCCTCCACAGATATGACATACACTCACGTACATGCACACACACACATGCATGCATCACACATGTATACACATGCACCCCCCCTTAGACACAACACACACACACACATACAAACATGGACACACACATCCACACATCACATGTGCACACACCTACAGCCTCCACAGACATGACACACATGCATACACACAGATACACACTCCACACATCACATGTGCACAAACTCACACACACACCCTCCACAGACATCAAACACACACACATGCACACGCAGACACCACACATGCGTGCATCACACAGGTATACACACACACCCCTTAGACAAAACACACACATACAAACACGGACACATACATCCATGTACCACATGTGTACACACACACTATCCACAGACATGACACATACATGCACACACACCCTCCACAGACATGACACACACACCCACAGGCACACAGACACACACACATGCATGCACCACACATGTATACACACACACCCTTTAGACAAAACACACTCATACACATGCATACACACAGGCACACATCCATGCATCACACATGCACATACATACACACCCTCCACAGACACGACACACACATCCACACATGTATACACACACTCCTTAGACACAACACACTCACACACAGAGACACACATCTGCGCACCACATGTGCACACTTGTATCCTCCACAGACACACTCACATACACACACAGACACACACTCACATACACACACCCTCCACAGACATGACACACAGTCACACACATGCATGCATCACACATGTATACACACACCCTTAGACAACACACACACACATACAAACATGGACACACACATCCACGCACCACATGTGCACACACATACACACTCTCCACAGACAAGACACATACACACATGCACATACACACATCTGCACATCACGTGCACACACATGCATACACACCCTCCACAGACACGACACATGCACCTACATGCACACACAAACACACACACATGCATGCACCACACATGTAAACACACCCCTTAGACAAAACACACTCATACACATGCACACACACACATCCATGCATCACATATGCACATGCTCATATACACACACCCTCCACAGACACAACACACACACGCACACACACACATCACACATATATACGCACTCCTTAAACACAATGCACACAGAGACACACATCTGTGCACTACATGTGCACACACTTACACCTGCCACAGACACATACACACACATCCACGATCACACATGTGCACACACACACCACAGATATAACACATTCACACATACACAGATGCATCCATACATTCCATGTGCACACACACTTCACAGACATGATATACACTCACAAACACATACATACACAGAGACACATGCAGAGATGCACAGAGACACCCACACATCCACACATCACACACATGCACACAGAGACACACATCTGTGCACTACATGTGCACACACTTACACCTGCCACAGACACATACACACACATCCACGATCACACATGTGCACATGACATGACACTCACAAACATGACACTCACAAACACATGCACACACATGTGCAGAGATACACACAGAAACACAACCACACATCGTACACACATACCTTCCACAGGCATGACACAAACACACATGCATACACACAGAGACAGATGCAGAGACACACACCCATGCCTCATATGTGCACACACACACCCTCCACAGGCATGATATACACTAGTGATATACACATGCACACACACATACACACGTCACACACATGCACACACACACCCTCCACAGACATAACACACACAAACATGCACACACACAGACACATGCAGAGACACACACACATCCATGCATCACACAAATGCACACATCCTCCACAAGACATGACACACACAAATGCACATGCACACACACACGCAGACACACACATACGCCCACAGACACGACACACACAGAGACAGCTTGACAGGCCCAGGCCACGCAGAACAGGAGAGCCCAGGGGAGCGCTGTGGCTGTCCAAGCCTGGTCCGTGCCCATGGGTTGCTGTGCTTCCGGCCTCGGCTCTCACTGTTGGGGCAGTGTTCCTGCTGTTTGCTGAGCCCGGGGATGCTGGGGCCTGTTCTGGAGTCACACAGTCAGGGAAACGGAGGCAACACTTCAGAGTGAGGCCCACCACAGCTACGGCAGCTCTCAATTTGGGTTTGTGAGTGATGTGGCTAATTTTACGTGTCAACTTGATTGGGCCACAAGGTGCCCAGATATTTGGTCCAAAATGACTCTGGCTGTGTCTCGGAGGTGCCCCTGGCTGGAATTCACATTCAAATGGGTAAACTGAGTCAAGTGTGGGAGAGCAGATTGGTGAAGGCTGAGTGAGGGGAGTTCCTGTTGCCTGACTGCTAAGCTGGTTTCTCGCTGGCCTTCCAGCCTGCCCTGGACCATGAGCCCCTCCTGGCTTCAGTCTCCAGTCTGTCGGCTGCCAGCCTAGAACTGCACCATCAGCTCTCCCAGGGTTCCGGCTTGCCAACTGCAGACCTCAGGGCTGGTCCACTCTGGGATCCAGTGAGCCCATTCCTGACAATCAGTCTCTTGCAGTCTCCCTCTACACATCCGTCCTATTGGTTCTATTTCCAGGGAGCCCTGAATACAGGGAGTGGGGGGCGCGTGGGCTTTGAAGCTAGCTCATTGGGGCTTTGCACGGTGACCACCACAGCCCTGATATTCCTGGGACACACAGACACATACACGACACACCACACACAGCTCCGGGCACTTGGCTTGCAGCCCCGTGACACTCATCTGTAGTTTCCAGGGGCACACACAAGAGTGGGGCAGCTGGAAGCCACGCAGACAGCAAGTGACCGAGCCAGGGGTTGAACTTGGGTGGGGGCCAACTCCCCGACCTGCACTCTCAATCCCCGTCCCAAGTCCTGTGACCCCCAAGACCAGGCTACTCTGACCCTCTGGGCCTGCCCTGCTCTGCCTGCCTCAGTGGCTGGGCTGCTGGGAGGCAGGCAGTGCAGCAGGGACGGTCTCGGAGCTCTGCTGGGGGCAGGGACTGGGCGGGGGAGACAGGGAAGAGCCGGAGATCGGATGGGATGGTGGGATCAAGGTGAGGGTCACAGAGGCCACAACTGTAAGAGGTCCCGGCTGATGCGCGGTCAGTGCTTTCTGCTGAGAAACAGCCAAGAGGACAGAGGTCCATGTTCAGACCCTTCTTTTAGGGCATCGGCTCAGGTGGTTGTGGGGGCTGGCCAGCCCCTCTGCACGGCAGGCTGCCGGCTCAGGCAGGGCTCCACACCGAGGCCTACAGGCAGAATTCCTGCTTCCTCCGCGAGGCCTTCGTGTTTGTTCTGAGGGCTGCAATGGATCGGATGAGGCCGTCCCACCCTATGCCGGGCCGTCTCCTTTCCTTAAAGTCTGACTGCCGACGCACGCCACATCGCAAAACACCAGCACAGAAACCTCTAGATGCACGATGGGATCACGGGGACCATGGCCTGGCCAGGTTGGCACCTACAACTAAGCAGCATGGCTGGGAAGGGACCACAGCAAGCCTGGAATTAGGGGCCCCAAATTCCAGCACCAGCTTCCAGGGTTTATGGGACTTGGAGACCGTTGCTCTAGGTGTGGCCTCAGTTTCCTCATCAGTAAAAGGGGGATTCTGTCCCTGGGTAAATCACATCCTCCCCTTACAGAGCAGGAGAGAGAAGACCTAGTCCCTACCCTGAGTGGAGGGGCACCTGCTGGGTTTTGATGTCCACATAAGAGCTTGCTACGCACCCCAGGGAACGGACGTGCGCCAGGTGGCCGGGTCATGGGGAGAAGCAGAGGATGGTGGTGGAGGGGGTGAGATCAGGGTGGGCTGGCTCTGTCCTTCTCCCTGCCATGGGCTCTGGTTTGGGGTGAGGAGAAAAAAGCTTGTCCTCCACAAATATGACCTGGTCATTTCCCAGCTCAGGCGCTGCCCACAAATGACTTCTGGGCTGTGCTGGTGACGGCACTGACCTGAGGCCAGCTTCCTCAGGAGGAGGACCCACAGGGTGAGGACAGGGGGAGACGGGCCCAGCCCTGGTAGCCCCAGGATGACCACAGTGTGGTGCTCCCAAAAGCAGCAGCCTTGGCGCTGCCATCATAGCTCAAAGCAGGTTTGTGGCAACCTTGTGAGACGTCTTACGTCCACCTAATTTCCGTGCTGAGGACGCCAAAGGCCAGTAATGACGCCCCTTCCAACGGCTGTGAGAGGGAGTGAGCTGGAAGCACCCACACCAGGGACTGGCACAAAGTGTCATTCATTCATTCATGCACTGCTTCATTCATTCATTGAACAAAGGTCAGAATTCCTGTGGTGGGCCAGGCCCTGCAGCTCTGGGGAAATCGGAACAGCCAGTCTCACAGATCCCTGCCCGCCTGGAGCAGAGCTTGGGCGGGGGAGCAGCTGCCTCTGAAAACGCAATCCACGGCCTCGCTGGGGACCTGGCGTCTGTGGGGGTCTCCTTCACAGAGGAGAGCCTGGGGGCTCTGTTCCACCCTCTTTCTCACCCAGCAAAGCATGCCCAGACCCAGATGGGCTTGAGCCTGCTCCTGACCACAAGGGAGGGAGCATCTCCATGAGGGCCAGCCCACTCCACAGGCAGCACAGGCCTACGTGTGGGAGACAGACCCTCGGCTCCACCACCAAGTGCGTCTCTGATGCTCATTTTCTCGGTTTTTTTTTTCCCCAAAATGTCAAATTGCTCTGCTGCGGGCTGCTGTTAGAGGTGTGACGGCTGTGGGAGAAGCATGGTGGGGGTGCTAAGAAGCCAGAGAGCTCACCAAAGACCCAACGGGACCCGTGGGGGATGCTGATCTGAAGCTTCCAGCTGAGGAGCTGGCACGGGGAGTTGGGGAGGTGGCAAGTGTCACAGAGCAGGAGCAGGAACAGGCCAGGCTGGCCTCGTGTGACCCTGGACACAGCCCCCTCCAAGCCAGGCCCCACCACCAACACGGCCAGCCCTCAGCAGGACACCCTCATTCCGGGGTCCCCACTGCCGCTCTGTGTCTGACGGCCCCACGCAAAGGGTTTCGGAACATTCCTGTACACACTGAATTAGAATTCTAGCTGGGGCTCAGATTCCCTGGGACAGGGCAGGACTGAGGTGTGGACCAGCAGGGATGGCAGCAGAGGAAATCAGGCACAGGCTGGGGCTCAGATTCCCTGGGACAGGGCAGGACTGAGGTGTGGACCAGCAGGGATGGCAGCAGAGGAAATCAGGCACAGGCTGGGGCTCAGATTCCCTGGGACAGGGCAGGACTGAGGTGTGGACCAGCAGAGGAAACCAGGCACAGGCTGGGGCTTTGGGCTCAGTCCATCCCCAGGATCCCAAGGGAGTGTGTGTCACCCAGAGTAGCGGCCATGGATGTGTGGCCCTGCCACGTGGCCTGGAGGCTGTGTCTGGTGACCATTTTCAAGACAGTGTCACCCGTCATCTCTGTTGGTGTCTGCTCCCCGCATGTGAAGGGCAGGTGCTTAATGGGGTCGGGCAGAAGAGAGCTGGGTCCTTGTGGAGACCTCCTTCTGGCTCATGTACCTGGACACACGCACAGGACAGACGCCGACTGCAGTTGGGAAGGGCGGCTTCGTCCTGCTGGACCAGCGGAATCCTCCAGTCTCATGACGCCCTCGGTGCCCAGGGCCTCGCCCTCCAAGCTCCAGCTTCCTCATCTGCAAAATGGGACTCATCTTGGTCCCGGTGGGTGCGGCTCTTCCCGGGACCAGGTGAGGTGACAGACACAAAGTTTTCTGGCACAGCGTCCAACACTCGGTGGGCCAGGGGGAGAGCCAGCCATTGTCACCTTGAAGACTCTGGGATCCCTCCGGTGGCCTGCAGGAGCATGGCCTGCGTGGCTTCTGGGGTGGCCAGTGTCAGGCGGCACAGAGCAGTGAGCCTGTCGAAGGAGGGGCAGCCTGTCCTGGGGAGGCCTGGGACCTCTGAGGAGGCCTTCTGGCTCCAGCAGACACAGGGGAGAGGCCAGGAGAGAGCTGGGGCAGATGGGGCCAGCGGGCCAAGGGCAGCGCCTGCAGTCCAGCTGAAGGAGCAGGTCAGGGGCTGCAGGCTCTGATGAGCCACCCAGCACTGAAAGCACCAGGCGTGCCCAGAGGCCTGCATGGACGCAAAGCCAGGCCCACCCCCACCCACGCCAGCCTTGCTCCTCACCCGACACCTCATTCATCTGTGTCCTGGGGCCTCTGCCACACGGGGCTTCCTGGGCGCTGAGGCTTGCTCTGTAAATAGGAAGGTAAATGATGGAGCCGCCGTCTGATTCACTCAGTGAAGCCGGCGGGCAGGCGGTTCACTCCCGGGCCTATTCCTCTCCCCTGAGTTTTCAGAGCTCCGCGCTGAGATTATCCTAACTGTGTAAGCCAAGACGTAAGGCTTCAGACAGAAAGCGATGAGTCCAAGCCTGTTCCAATCTGCCAGCGTTCTGGGTTAGCTGGACCTGCACACCCCCATCTGGGGGAGGGGGAGGAGGGGGGATGCAGAAGGGGGAAAGGGGAGGAGAGGGAGGGAAGGGACCCGTCTTCCCAGGCTCGGCTGGCCGTGAACACAGGTTCCCTCGTATCTGCATGCACCCTGTGCGGGGGGGCGGGGGGGGGGATGCTATTATTGTCCCATTTTTGAGCTGAGGAAAGAAGGCTCAGAGAGGTGAAGCCATGCCCCAAGGTCACACAGCTTGGACCCAGCAGAGCAGAGACAGAAGTCCTGGTCCTGCTGACGGCCAAGCAGCAGACAGCCCTGGGCATCCCAGCAAGGAGCAGAGTTCTGCAGCGCGTTAGGAAGTCATCACCATGCAAACCCTGGAGGGGAACTCGGTTGAATAAAATTCAGGTCAGGACGGCTGGAGGCCTCTGAGCCTCCTCCCCTGGGCGAGCACACTGACACCTCGGGCCAGGCTGGGAGTCTGCAAGTCTTCCAAAGAAGATTCTGGCTGCTTCCCGGTGTCTGGGGTGTGGGGTTCTGACCTCGACCTGCAGAAAGCTCATCCCCCACCAGGAGGCCTCCCTCAGCCTTGGCCCAGGTCCTAGGTGGGTTCGCACAGCACCTGCCACTCCCCACAAACTCTACAACCGCCAGAAGAACCCCAAACGGGTTGTTTTGACCCACCATGAATTTGAGCCCTTCTCATGAATTTGAGCCCTTCTCACCTCCTGTTCCCCAGAACGCATCCAGACCTGGGGAGGTGGTGGGAGGAGCCTCCTTTTCACAGTCCTCCAGGTCCCTCTTAGCACAAAACAGCATTGCTGGGTGCAGCCTTGCTCCCGGACCGCGGCGTGGACAGTCAGCCAAGAGGGCAGCAACCCTCCCTGAACAAGCCCCAGACGGAGGCCGTCTCAACCAGGGTTCTCCCGCTGAATCATCACCCCCAGGCCAGGGCAAGGCACTGCGGGCCTCAGCACTTCCTCGTTGAATACATTTCACGGAAGAAACCCCTAAGACGTGAGTGGCAACAGCTTTTATGCGTAGAGAAGGCATCTCCAGGCTCCCTCCATTTCCGTTCTAGAATTCAATGGCTACCATAACTCCCCATCCCCAATAGCTGATTCCAGCAGTGAAACCCTTGGAATCCACATCCCAGTGGGAGTACCATGCCACTCATTCACAGAGGGCTCCCACGGCCAAAGCCTGGAAATTAATTAGGATCCAGCCACATGACATGATGAGCACTTCTGAGGCCTGGATCTGTGCTTTCACCTCTGAGCATGTGAATCATGTAAGTCTGGGCAGCCTGGAGCTATCCCAGTGTGCCTGGGACCTGAGGCACTCAGAAATTCTGAATGATCCTGTACTCCTGAATGTGTGAGTGGATGGGTGAGGGGTGTACAGGTGGGTGGGTGGGTATGTAGCCTGGAGAATGATTGTGCAAGGCTGGGAGAGTGGACTGTGGTCAAACAATGGTTGGATGGATGGATGGATGGATGGATGGATGGATGGAAGGTGGGCGGATAGCTGGATAGATAGGTGAGTGGATGGGTGGATGGGTACGTAGGTGAATGAATGGATGGATAGATAGATGGGTGGATGGGTGGATAGATGGGTGGATGGAAAGGTTTGTGGGTGGGTGGATGGATGGGTGGATGGATGGATGGATGGATGGAAGGTGGGCGGATAGCTGGATAGATAGGTGAGTGGATGGGTGGATGGGTACGTAGGTGAATGAATGGATGGATAGATAGATGGGTGGATGGGTGGATAGATGGGTGGATGGAAAGGTTTGTGGGTGGGTGGATGGATGGGTGGATGGGTAAATGGGTAAATAGATGAATGGGTGGATGGGTAGGTAGGTGAATGAATGGATGGATAGATAGATGGGTGGATGGAAAAGTGGGTAGGTGGGCAGATGAATGGGTGGATGGATGGATGAATGCATGAAAGGATTAATAAGTGGATGGGTGGCTGGATGGGCGGATGGGTAGGTGGATAGATGGATAGGTGAATGATGGATAGATGGATGATGGATGGATGAATAGGTGTTTGGGAGGGTAGGTGGGTGGATGGATGGATGAATGGATGCATGGAAAAATTGATGGATAGATAGATGGGTGATAGATGAGTGGATGAAAGGTGGGTCAATGGGTGGATGGATGGATGGAAGAATGGATGGATAGGTAGATGGGTGGATAGATGAGTGGATGGAAAGGTGGGTTGGTGGATGGAAAGGGGGGTCGATAGATGGATGGATGGACGAATGCATAGAACGATGGATGGTGGATGGGTGGGGGAATGGATGGATGGAGGATGGTGGATGGGTGGCTGATTGGATGGGTGAATGGATGGATGAACAGTGAATAGGTGGATGACTGGATGGGTGGGTGAGCAGATCGAATGCTATTTGGGTTGTGGATGCTGGGTAGAGGGGGAGTGTCAATAACTTACATAAGCTTTTCTCTTTTTTTTAGAGAGATGGGGTCTTGCTATGTTGCCCAGGCTGGAGTTGCTGAATCATAGCTCAGCTTAGCCTCAAACTCCCAGGCTCAAGCAATCCCCCTGCCTCAGCTTTCCAAGTAGCTAGGACCACTACATGCCACCATATCTATTATTGTTTTAGAGGTGGGGATCTTGCTGTGTCGCCCAGGCTGGTCTTGAACCCCAGGCCTATACTAAGTCTCTTGTCTCAGCCTCCCAAAGTGCTGGAGTTACAGGTATGAGGCACCACACGCAGCCTTCATAGGATTTTCATATTCTTAAAACAACAACAAGATCTAGGTAGCAACTTGAGGGAAGAGGTTGTAGCATCAAAACGGTTGAGGTGGAGGCTTGAACAGTCCAGGCCCCGTGGGTAATGGGGAGTAGAGTGGCAGGTGCAGGGACCCCAGCAGCCACTGGGACATGGGCCCAAGAAGGTGCTGAGAGGCCTACAGCCCAGCCTGCGGCCACCAACCCCAGTGAGGTCCTTGGAGGGCGCAGTCCTGCCACGAGGGTGGGACATGGCTCCCCTGTGGGTTTGCTGTCCTGCTGGACCGCACAGGGATGCTAGGAGCTCCATTCTGGGTGTGAGGCCCCGGGGTCCAGGCGACAGGCAGCACCTGTGACATTCTGCACTGAGTCTTGCTAAATGGGCTGGGATGCGGGTGGCGAGGGGAAACTCTGGTAGGCCAGAGTTGCAATGGTGGGCAAAGATGGGCTGGGGCATCTTCCTGATGCAGAGCCCCGCGGACCCCAATCCCTTCAGTGTCAGTGGGTTCCTTTGCCCCCCTCTGCCGTAAAGCCACCATGGACAAGGGGCTGTCATCATCCCCTTTAAAGGACAGGAACCAAGTCCCAGGAGCACAGAACAGCTTCTGGGGGCCTCCCCACTGCAGAGGCAGAGGCAGCCCCAGCCCCCGGCCACCTCCCTACTTCCATCTCCTTGATGGTTTCAGGAGGAAGTGGGTGTCCGCAGAGGCAGCCAGATGGCCCTTGGCTTGGCTGTCCCCATCACCAGCCCCCGGTCCCCTGGGGCCAGGCTCTATTTCGGGAGTGAGAATGGAGAGAGGCGGGGGAACCACAGCTCCCCAAGGGCCTGCTGCCTCACAGGAGTCATCCGAAAAATTCCTGCCATGCAACCCAGAGCAGATGGAGCGACTGTGCAGTCAGCAGAGCCCCCAGCACATGGATGGAGGAGGGAGGGTGTGGGGGGGGTCTCCGGAGGAGAGCCTGGACTGGGAGCCAGAGGCCTGGGTATTAGCCCCCAGCGTCACTGTGCTCTCAGAGTGGGCAGAAGTGCCTCCTGTAGGCCTCGCTCTTGCTCCTAAACTGGCTCTTGCTGGCACTGGCCACAGCTCGCACCTGGGGCCCCACACCTGGCACTTGACTGCAGGCCAGGAGTCACGCCGGCATGCAGGAGCTACTGCCAGCCAGGACCCGAGCTGGATGGGTCTGACCACCCCATCTCCGGACACGCGGCACTTGCAGCCTCAGCTCTCTGCTTCTGCCGTTCTGCCCTGAACACACCCCTCCTCCACTGGCACTTTCTGCTCCCAGACCCTCTAGCCTCTTCCAGAACTACCCCCTGCCATGGAAACTCCAGGTGTAGCAGTCCTGGACCCTGGGACACCCTCGGCCCCACACACTGATGGCTGAGGAGGAGGGTGGGGCAGGCATGACTGTGCCTCCAGGTCCTGCAGCCTCCCGGGAATGTCCAGGGTGTGGATGGATGCTGGGCTCAAAGCTCCAGGCTGCAGTCAGTGCTGGGTCAGAAAAGGCAGGCATCCAGGGAGCAGAGGTTTCAGGCTGGGGACACAGCTGGCTGCCTCTCTAAGCATGGACAGAAGAGGAAGTGCCGGAAAACAGATGGAAAAGGAAGGGAGGGGATGGCCAGGAAGGGGCTCTGCAGGGTGACTGAGGGTCCCGCACCTTCATGGCGGCAGAGGCCCCACACCCAGAGGAGTAGCAGCAGAGGAAGTTGGGTATGACTAGGGGGGGTGCAGTCCCCTCATCACTGTCTGGGGCCATTTGTGTGGAGACCAATGCACTGCCACAGCCCCTGAGCCTAGCACATCCTCGCACCCCCCGTCCCTGGAGCACGGTCCACCCCAGCCAGCAGCACCCAGGGCCCTCTGAAGCCAGCAGGAGCTCCATGTCCCAGATGAGGAAACTGAGGCTAGGGCAGGCAGTGCGGACCACACTCCAGAGGAGGCACGGACAGTGGGACCCGGAGTGCCTGTGGGCGCTGTGTTGGGAGCTACATGGCACCGAGGGTGAAGAGGGCCCCTTTCTGAAGGAGGGACACGGTGTCTGCTCCTGTGCCTCAGGGCTGGTGCCCATTGTCCCCCCAGGCCACACGTTCCTTGAACATCTCCGCAGTGACCCACTTTCTCCCCGAAACCAGCTGGATCTGCCTTTAGGTGTTTTCTGTCTCTGGCCCAGGTTTTCCTGACACCAGCTAGTGCCGCCAAGCCTCCTGCAGGGTCAGCAGATTTGCAAACCACAGGTCTCTCCAATTTCTTTGGAGAAAAGAAAGGAATAAAGAAGGAAAAGGAAATCATTTTCCAGAGTATGTTTCTTCCCAATTGATCAAGGTACCAGACCCGGCCATGGCCCCAGCCCTGTCGGGCAGCAGCACATGGTGACACCATGGGATGGGTCAGGAGGTTTGGGGGTCCAGCATGGGTAGTGGTTCATACCCCGGGCCACAGCCAGGACGGGGGCATCTCTAGAAGCTTCCAGGAGGGCTGTGGCCCAGTGGGGTGGGCGGGGAAGGTCACGTCCACTCCTGCGCGGATGGCAGGTGGACGTGCTCCCAGGGCAGGGAGGGATCACTGCATCCAAGGTGTGAGCTCGGGGGTATGGAGGCCTCTCCAAACCAGCTGTAAAAGTTCCTTCACTTTGACCAAAGTTTCCAGAGCCTGTTAGGGGACCAGCCCTGCAGCCCTGACCCCCAAATGGCCCAAGTCCTACACCACCAGTGCCAGGGATGGGCGGTCAGGGCTCACAGAATTTTGGGAAGGGAAAGATGCATGAGAAACACTGTGTCCATGAGACCCCTGGATTTGGGGCAGGGCCATGAGGCTGCCAGCCCAGCACGGGGCCCACCTGTGCAGAGGACCTGCCGGAAGCTTGCTGGCCATCCTTCAGGGACATGGTGCAGGGCACTGTCATGACCGGCATGGGAGTAGTCAAACCCAATCCACCTGCCTCACCACGGGCTGCTTGGCCGGAATCCCCAGTGCGCAGGGCGGCACCCTCCCTCGGGGAGTCTCTAAGCACGTCCACCTGCCCCTTGGTGTACCAAGCTCTGGCTTTCTTCAGTCCTGTTCTGGGTCAGCCGAGAGCAACCTCTGCCCCATGAGTCATCCCCAGCGTGGAAGCCTTGCCACCCCTCCATGTCCCACTCCTTCCTCTGGGCACTCCTCTGTGTCCATCCTGTCCCCCAGTGCGGGGAGAGGCACATCTCCACATGGCCCTGGGAGGAGAGTGGTGCCAGCAGCTGGTGAGGTCACGTCTCCATGGCCTGTGACTGCTGCCCTCACTGACCTGGCATCAGCCACTGCCAGCCGCCCCTCTTGGGATCTACCCAGGGCCCCTCTGATGTTGGGGACTGCGTGGCAGGAGACCTGGGCCTGCTCTCCCTTACCAGGTGGGCTCTACACCTCCGCATCACTGGACAGACTCTGAGGGAGCCTGCAGGTCCCTGTGGGCACCTCCCTCTGCATTCTGGTGCAGGAGCCTCTCGCCTGCTGAAGCCCATGGGCCATAGGGAGACATGG